CTGCATTTGGCCCTTCTAAAATCTTTTCTTGCCCTTTTGGGCAATTTTGCTCTAGCTAGCAACATATGGCAGTACTAGGTACATTCTATTCTTGAAAATATTCTATTCTGTGATACATTTTAAGCATTACCATGCTACTAAGTTATAATATTCGTAGCCTTAGTATGACCTTTGAGGTGATTATTGTAACTATGTGAGCAACTGATCGAGATTTGAGATTCTAATAATAGAATGTGAATTTGAGAAAATGGTAATCTTTTTATTTTTTACAACATTTAATGGTCTGTTTTCTTTCACATTGTTTATCTTCGTTTTAAAAAAAATTATTCAAGAATATATTTAGTTTGCACATAAGAAATTATATTAAAATGTTGCATTTTTTCTTGAAAATAACAATGATATGTTGTTTATGCAATATTTTGTCATTTTAAAATTTTAGGTGCAAAACCTATAATTCACTATTTTTTAGAATTATTATATTATTATATATCTAGGAAAGTCCGTCTAGGATATTTCCGTCTAGTTTGAAATAAATTATATGGAAATCCATCTAGATTGCTCAAATTAGACGGAAAGTAACCTAGACGGATGATGGAAATTCCGTATAACCTAGACGAAAATTCTGTCTAGGTTAATAATATCATCCTAGACGGAAATTCAATCTAGTTTGATTTAACCTAGATGGAAATTCCATTTATGTTGTTCTTTTTCCGCAAAAAAATTCTTTTTAAAATGTTGATTCCCTATACATCACATTACATTCATGATATACACATGAATACATTATTCCAGTATATTTAATATACACATCCAATCAAATATAATCAATATTTATATCTAAGACACACATGCAACAATCCAATCTAAAATACACATCCAATAATCTAGTCCAATATACATATCCAACAATCTAAGCTAGCTGCCAATATCTATTTCAGTAAAAAATTATATTATCTAAATATTTACAACGGATACACTAGCACTACCAAGTCCATCCATAACACGATATGAATAACATCAAGTACACGAGATGAATAACATAGAGTATACGAGATGGATAAAAGTAGATTACTATTACAAATAAAAAGCTGTTCATTGCATTAAAAACTAAAAAAAACTCACATCTCATCATCGTCGACAGTGGCTCTATCCCTAGTACAATAATTGATGCTGCTCCCTCTAATGTCTTCAGTCTGAAGGTCAAATTAATTATATTTTAGAATTATGTGAAGTTTGATAATATATGAAACATAAATGATTTTTTAAATATACTAGTCCCTTAAATATTCAATTTAGCATAAGTGTTTTTAGGATTTTCACTTTTATAAAAATAATTTGCAACTATTATTTTTTTTGGGTCTTCCTTAGTATGTGAGGGAAAGTAAGATACTTGTGTGCTGCTCTGCCCAAAGCCAGTATTACCGACGCCCGAGTTTATAAGCGGTATGATATCACCAAACAGATCAGCGGGAATCACAACGACCAAACAACTTATAATGTAGGACATGACCTCGTCCATCGTGCGAGGCCTCAACACAACACTACTCATCTCCTTAGTCACCTGAAAGTGTAGCTCTGGGTCAATCTTTCCACGCAAATACGTTGAGACACATAAAACAAATGGCGTAGCCTGCAAATTGCATGGTGCTAATCTCGTTGTTGTATATGACATGGAAGATGATGTGAATGATCTTATGCTTACATCCGGTGAAGCTCCAATACCATGCAGCGAATATCTTCCTCTCCTATTATTAGGGTGGAAATGAATAGTAGATTATGCATTCGAATTAAATAATTTTAAATAAATATAAATAGGAACGTAGTATTCGATTCGATTCTATTGTTTACCATCCCTACATATTATATCCCAATACATTCTGAGTGAGAGTGATGTTATCCTCTAAAGATGGAATGTGAGGGTTCGACTCACCTTGTACTTCCTCCTGAGACATATGTAGTGTTGCAGCCTCCTTGGTTGCATCTTCAAAACCCTCATAAAGCAAAAATATAAGTTTATAAAAACTATAGCATTGGGAATAGATCTAAGAAAATTTAAATAAAATTAAGAAAGAAATACAGTTAATATTTCTAATTAAGTTATAAATAAGTCTCGCCACCAACTCGAGATTTGTCTTGATCTTATACTGATTCTTCTTGTCATTCCTATAACGATCACGGAAGGTACCATATGCTAGTTTTTCCTTCAAGTTTATCAACATTATTGATTTTTCTTATCAGATTATAAATTTATGAGACTTTGTAGTCATACTAAGCATTAAGATTATTTAAAGTTTTAAATAATATATACCGTATCTCGATAATAACCATCCTCTAGGTTAGCATAAGAGTGTGCGCCCAAGTGGTGATCATGCATCTTTTTCCTTCTATTTACTGATCCCTTTCTTGATTTATTCTTTAAAAAATTTATTTCAGTAAGTATTCAATGAATAAATATATCATGTAAATAGTGTAGTTTTCATAAAACTAACTTGTGCGGCAACGGTGTCCCAACATATTAGGAGAGTTATGAAATGAAGCTCGTCAACCATATCATCAAGGTTCAAAAACCTCTGCCAGTCCTTTGAATACCTATCATAGGTTTCTTTTTTAATCTGATACCTCCATTGTTTGAGGATAACTTCAACCTTGACATTAAAAACATAGTGCCAAGCCCCATCAAAGTCCTTAAGACAGAAGCTTTCTTGTAAATTTTCATATATATTTTATTAGGATAATTTAATATATATTACTAATCAATAATAAATGAATTGCAAAAGTAATATAAAGTTATCATAAGCTCATTCCATATCTGCTCATAAGCGGTCCATGGTAGTTCTCAAAAATTAAAATAAGGATTAATGGTATTTGCCCTACATACGAGAACTCCGGTATAACTATTGAATCGTGACGACCAAGCACCAACTGGCAATGCGTCATTATTCCACCGAATAATGGACCTCATGCCTCTTGGCAGTTGTTTGGACTCAGGCTTGATCCCGCCATGCCGTCCCTCGATGCGATCCGACTTAGCATCTACAACAATAACAATATGATAATATATCGTGTAATCTATAAATATGAAAATTAAAAGTATTTAATAAATTTACCATTCGCTTTCTCCCTTTCTTTGGCTGCGAGTGCAACGGCTTTTCTAGCCTCCATCATAAGTGTCAATTCCTTCAACCTTCTCGCAACACGTGGGTGGTGCTCTATTGATTTAGCTTTGGACTTAATCGAGTCTAGAGCCCGTCGCCAATAAGTATTCACGATGGGTGCGCCACTATCGCCAATGAGCATTAGCGACAGCTTTATTCCATCGCCAATGCACATTGGCGATGGGTCAGTGCTCTTCGCCAATGCATATTAGTGACTGGTTATCCCTTTGCTTATGAGTGGCCCCCAAAAAAAATTAAGGGTTATTTTAATATTAGTCCCTCAAACCTTCAATATTTCAAAAGTAGTCCCCCAAGTTATGGAAATTGCTAACACATCTAGGGATGGAAATGAACCAAATAATTAAAAAGTAGTTCAATAATTGTTCGAATAACTATTCAGTCATATTCAATTCGTTAGTTCATTTAGCACTAGACAAATATTTTTTAGTATTCCAGTTTGCTAACGATTAGAATTTGACCATATGTACATTTGATTCGTTTGCTTGCTAAATATTCATTTAAATTTGATCATAGGTTATTATTTGTATTATTGCATATATAATGTCGTATTTTTAACCACTTACCATTTCTACTTAAGTTTTATATACCGATTTTAAGACTTAAATAATCTTAAATCTATTTTTTAATTAAATTTTGATTTAAATATATACACATCATATATTATAAAGAAATAATTTTTATTTATGAATTTTAATACTACTTGAAAATTAAATTCTTTAGCGGAATAAATATACTTTGATATTCGATAAGTATTCATGAGTTTTTGACTTCTACTTTGATTAGTTTAGAGAAAATGATGAGAAAAGTGAAAATGATGAGAAAATTGTGAGAGACCAATGAGGAGATCATTTTTAGTTATACGTGTTAGGAACATGTAACCATATTGATCTTGCTAATGATATACCGGAACTTATCATAGCCCTTTTTAATTAATTATGAATTCTATGTTAATTTTAAAATTGATTTTTCTTTTATTCTTTATGCTAGTAGATTCAATGACCTCCACTACTCTTGGCTTCATTTACCCATGAACTTGAACTAACAAACATCATTAATAAATTTGAGAGGAGCTAAATGAGATTTAATCATTAAAGAAACATATGAAAATAGTTTGGATAAAATTCTCTTGGAGTTTTTATAAGGTTAAGAGGAAAAAGAGCCGTCGAAATTGAGTTAGAGCAAAGATGATATCTGTTGGAGAAAAAAGAAGTTTTTAATGAATTTGGGTTTTCACGTTTTAACAGGTCAACTAGGTCCAAACGAGTTGGATTTTTAATGGGTGCAGTTTCTTATAATTAAAAATCAAGGGAAACTGGTAATAATTGTTAGATTTAAAGGAATATTTTTTTAAAATCTAACTGGTGTTAACTAGGAGACCTAATTGTAAATATTGTGTGATTTGAGGGATGTAATAAAAATTTTCATGATTTGAGTGAGTAATTTTAAAATATTGAAGATTTGAGGGACTAATTTGAAAATATTAAAGATTTGAGGGACTAATATTGAAATAATCCAAACATTAACTCTGAGCTCAAGGGAAGCCCCAAGCATTAATGGTCTGTTTGGATGGAGGGTAGAAAGAGGGAGGGAAAGAGAAATCTAATTTTAAATTTGTTTGGGAGTTCCATTTATGAGGGTAGAGGAGGAGAATGAGGTGAATTTTGAACCAAAATTTTACACTCTAAATTGGGGTGTAATGATGGGAAAAAGGAAGGAAGGGGAACTTTTCTCTTTCCATCCTTTTCCTTCCCTTTCCTAAGTCATCTCCCAAACACACTGTAATTTCATAAACCCAGCTTGTCTCTTGTCTAACCTCTATTGGAATTAACCTACAACGAAAAAACGGAAAACATAAATATATTAAAGTAGAAAACCAAAGAATATATAACAATTCCCAATGATGCTTAGAGGTTTTCTCCTTTTTCGTCTACTCCAAGATGAAGCGATCTCATTACAGTAATCTTCATTCATTCCCTCTTAAGTTTTGCTTTCTTCTTGAAAGTCATCAGTCGTGCAACACGAATGTTGAAAGGATTCTCAGACACTTTAGCTGTCAATGTCCGTAGATAAACTTGATATGATTTATGGAAGTTCCATGTTGTAATTCTCTGAAACAAAACACCCAAAAGCATAAGCAATTGAATCAAGGAGTTCATTTTTTCTTACCTATATACCCCTCAAATCTATCTCACTTGAAGATGTACCCCGCAAATCTAAATATTTGCTAATACTTCTACACTCTGACATTAATTGAGTTCAAATTGCTCTCTAATATAACTCTGTAAAATTTCAAACTGATAAGGGGTAAAACGACAAAAATATGAAAAGAATAATGTTTTTTTTGCCCATACATCATATAAAATTATCGTATTTTTTTAATCCCTAAATCTGTAAATTTGCTAATTTGCCCATGTATTGATGTTGTTAAATGAGAGGGGCAAAGAAAATACAATGTGGGAGGATGTATGTATATATTAGCAAATTTGCACATTGGGACTATAAAAATGCAAGTAGGGTAGGTTTGGAGGCATATGGGCTAAAATATATATAGAGGAAATATCTTAAATTTTTCATGAGAAATAAATAAGCATTAATAGGTACCTGAATCGTAAGCAGGGTTGAGATTGGCCTTTGTTTTGCTAGTCACATTCTTCATTGTACTCATCCGAAGCTCACTAGGTAAGCGAAGGAGATTATACAGTGAAGCAGCAGCAACAGTACCAATAAAAGGGGCTATTAAATAGATCCATATCTTGTGGAAGTTGTTTGTTGCAGCGGCTGGTCCTATGCTCCTCGCAGGATTCATCGATGCACCAGTTATTTTACTGCAAACATATATATTGTTAGAATATAAAAATATAACCTTCAACCATCACCACAACTTTGGAGTTCTAGTGTAATGATTAGAGGAATAATATCAGATCAACTCAGGTTTAAATTCTACTGACCAACAATTTAAAATAGTACATATTGATACCGCTAGTCCATGTTAGAATATTGAGGGACTATAAGATAAATAAAGGTTTTATGAGACGATTCAATATATGTTGACAATGAACAGCAATGGCCTTGTTAGCGTACCCCGCGATAAGAACGTCAAGAAAGATGGCTGCTCCAACCGCCGCTCCTGAGAGCTCCTTGATCTGTCGAGTTTGAATTGATTCAGTAACAAACTTTTAAGAAGTTAGAAATACAGTTTGGTACTTAAGAACTTACTGCTCTATGATCCGAGGCAGCACCACAAATGACCCACATGAGAATGAATGAGGCTACGGTCTCCCAAGCTATGACAGTGAGATCGTTAGTGTTAGCTGCGGGAAGAGTCAACATCACTTTCGCTTGATCTCCATTGAAAAGCCCTCTAAGGATCAAACATGCAAGGATTGCACCTATAACTTGAGCCACCACATAGAAAATAACCTGAAAGAGGAAAAAATAAATCCAAAATTTGTGGAATATTACATTAAGGTAAACCGAAACAACTGGTTCATCGATCTCTTTTGTGTAGACTTAATATTGGGGATTTTTAACCTGTTTCCATGGAAATCGACCAACGATGGCAAAGGCAATAGTAACTGCTGGATTGAAATGAGCCCCCGATATATGTCCTAAAGTGTAAACCATGGCCATGATAACAATTCCCCAAGCAAAGGCTACACCAACAATTGTTATATTGTACTTCTGGTCTATGAACCCTGATCCACACCCTATAAGGAGAAGTATGAATGTGCCAATAAACTCCGCCACAACCTAAACAAAAGAAGATAAGAGTTCAGCACAATAATTTATTTGATAATAACGATGGGTATAAACACCTTGTCCATCACTAATATGAGTTTAATGAAACATCTGCAACTACAAATACGAAAGTGTCTCTAACTCTTACAGAAGTTACGGAAACGAAAACAATTGTTCTCGTAAGTGGCTATGTATAAAGATACCATAATGAAACAAGATATCAACTCAAAATAATAATCATATGGTAACCCATGAGCACAGGATGTGGAAGGTGCTATGCCTTTTGGATAATTGTTGGAGTTTCAAAATACCATGGTGAAACAAGATATCAACTCAAAATAATAATCATATGGTAACTTATGAGCATAGGATGTGGAAGGTGCTATGCCTTTTGAATAATTGTTGGAGGAGTTTCAATTTCTTCTTCTTCATCAACAAATTTTCTTCTTATCGTTGGAGAGAACTTTCCTTCTTCCTTAGGAGAGAGGTCCCCTTTCTCCATTTGAGAAGGATATGCTGCTGATGGAGTCTTATCAGAAATCTCAGGTGAAGGATGAAGAACTCTTGCCATATCAAAAAACGCTATAAGCGAAAGAAGTTTGCAGTTCAGATAAAATAAAGCTAACCAGCAAGTTTATATAGAATCGAGAATCTTTGAAGCCTATTGTTTATAACAAAATGGAATTGATTGAAAGTTCAGTCTAGGGATTTTATAGTAATATTGGGTATCTTTAACTCATGTTTTACCATTGATGGGAGAGTCACATGGATGAATTCCAATTACTTAAGTTATATACATCAATCTAAACATGTTGGTAAAAAAAATTCTGGCTTCTTACATAATCCTGTATTCTTACTTTTATTTTGTTAATTTGGAACTCCTCTATGGTTTCTGCTGGATACCATTGTCAATGCCGTGCTAGTTAATTACACTCGAAATGATAAACCTATCAAATTGATGCTATCAGAAACTATCAAATGTTTTAAATTTTCTACACATAGGGCATTCACAGAAGTTGTGAGCGGTTCCTTGAGATAAGACTTTCCAGGCATTAAAATGTTGATATAGGGACAGTAAATAGTGAAGTAGCACAAAGAGGTTTCTATGAGAAATCAAACATGTATTTACGAATGGCCAAATTCTATATATAGGAGAACTAATATATACAACATAAGTAACTAAATCTTTTTACCCGAGAAATGAAAGCTTTGAGATGTTAAATCTTGATGCATATCACTGATTAAGAATCTTTTGCCTCTTCTTCTATGCATCTTATGCAAATCAATAATAAAAGCCGGCTATATCTGGGTGAATTTGTCTGTGATGCACTTTAACCATTAATTTTGTAATGTCCCTTTCATATTTGCTTCTGCAACTTAGAGCCTTATCAAATTGATGTTTTAAGATGATTTGCATAGTCGAAGTGTTTTCTTGTTTAGCCTTCATCATCTATCAGTCTCACTCATGCTCAATGACACAATTTTTTTAAAATATAATCATTCACTCCAAGATGGGAACATTCCCATATTATTGCTAAGAACATAGAACATTCCTTATGGAATCAAGGCCTACCTAACCAACACGTATGCTAGTTGTAGAGTCACAACAAAAAAGTTTGGACAAAGAAGATGCTTTGAGTGATAAACTATGAAGCCTCAGAGTTCAAGATGTTTATGCTGCTTGATAACAAAACTTATCTACAGAGTTTTGAGTTAAGGATGCCATCTGTCATCAGCTCCTCACTCTCTCAATGGTTATCCTGTAGAATTAAATATAAAAGTTTAGGAAAACTAATGGCTCTGCTTGTTGCTTTGTTAGATCAATGACTGACTTGTTGCCGGCCTTGATTCTGGTGGTCAATTAGTTAATTATCAGTAGTACATTTGCATAAATCTTTGTATGCTAAACTAGATATACAAAGAAGTCATTCACAGAAACATACATAAAAAGGAATTTCCATCACTATGAACATGGTCATATACAGAGAAAAATTACATAACTATTGGCAGGCAATTTGAATTAGTGGGGTTTGTCCTGACACTGATACAAAGATTTTTGGCCGGATAAACTGGAGGTTCCATTTTTCAGATAATATGTACCTCAGGTTGTCAATTTACTTTCTCGAACTAGCTAAGGAAACATTTAAACCAGTCATACACATAGATACAAGCCTAAATTATCACCAGTTTGTATGATGATCCATCAAAGTAAAGCATCATTTGCACATTTAATAACATCCGAGTTTTATTCATACATTCGACAGAAGTATCAAAATGTGAGGATGAACATGTTGAAGCATCCATTTTGTTAACTAACTATGAACCTTTGTAGCATAGAACATGTAGGATTGGCAGTTGATGGCTCAGAACAGGCTATTAACAGCTTTTATTGTGTGTTGGAGAGTTTGGCGGGGGCTGGATCTGTTTGCAGACCCGTTTCGTTTGGGTTTTCTATAAATACCCAAAGTCACGGTTTTAGGGTTAAGGCAAGGGGGTTTTAGCAGCCATTGTGGGGGATTTCTTGGGCTTCTAATGTTGGAGCATTTGGGAGAGATCAAGAGTGATTGTTGAGGGTTTTTTGTGAGATTTGTAACCCTAGTTTGTTCCTCTTGACTTCTAATAGTGAAAACTCCCCCTTCCTTGCCTCGTGGACGTAGGCATCTCGCCGAACCACGTAAAATCTGGTTTATCTTGTGTTTGTGCTATCTTTGGTGTGTTGTTTATCTTCTCTCGGCGATTGGTATTGGATCTCGGCACAGGGGTTTCTCCCCAACAAGTGGTATCAGAGCTCCGGGCAACGCTTGGCCTTTTTGGAGGTGTAGATCAGTTGGGAAGTTCATCTAGAGCTTCGATTGGTGATAAAGGTGGGATCTTTGTGGTAAAGTTTCTATCTTTTTTCAAGTTGGATCTATTTCTTATTTGTTCCGCAATTGTTTTGGTGCTTTGAGATATATGGTCGAGAAAGATAAAAGTGGGGAGGGTTCTTCTAGTGTGAAGACCGTCCAAAGTTTGAATGTCCATTCTATGAAGATAGATATGGAGAAGTTCGATGGTACAAACAATTTTGGACTTTGATGATGCGAAGTCATGGATGCTCTAAATGCGCAAAATTTGGAAGATACGTTGGAGTTGGACGGGAAACCGATCGACATTGATGAGAAGGTTTGGAAGAAAATGAATAGAACGGCGTGTGGTGTGATTAGGTCTTGTCTTACCCAAGATCTAAAATATGATGTGATGAATGAGACTTCGGCAAAGAAGATTTGGGAAGTGCGTCGAAAATCGCTTGCATTTAAGGAGGAGGCTTTATCGCTTCCAATTAAAGAAGGGGACATCCATTAGTGATCATATTAACCACTACACGAAGCTACTTACAGATTTGGCGAATGTAGATGTTATGGTTGAATACAAGGACAAGGCATTGTTGTTATTAAGTTCCTTGCCCGACGAGGAATATGAGACCTTCGTCCTCACTCTTATTAATAGGAAGGTATCTCTTTCGTATAGTGAGGTCACCGCGGCTCTTGTGAACTATCAACTTCGTAAGAAGGACAAGGAGACTTCCATTGAGCCGGTAACGGGGGCATTGTTTGCAAGAGCTAGAAGTCCAAACCGTGGTAAGAGGTCGTAGTCTAGAGAGGGGCATCCTGCAGTTGGTAGGAATCAGTATTCCTTTTGTAGAGAGGATGAACATTGGAAAGCCGAATGCCCAAAATTGCTAGCCGGGAAGAATAAGGGGAAAGCTATTCAAGCTTAAGAGGTGAATGTTGCCAAGGCTAGTGGTGACGTTTCAGATTTAGATTCTTCGGGCTATTCGTGCCCAGCTCTTCTGTCAGTTGGTGTTGCCGACTCCACCGAGTGGATGTTCGATTCGGGTGCTACTTATCACATATGCCCTAGGAGGGATTGGTTCTCCAGTTTTTAGGAGATTGAAAGAGGGGATGCTGTTCTTATGGGTAATGATCACAGATGCCCTATTGGTGGTATTGGTACCGTTCAGATTTAGACGAGTGACAGGATGATTCGGGAGTTGGTTGATGTGAGGTTCGTTCCTCAACTGAGGAAGAACATCATTTCACTTGGGGTATTGGAGGCAGCAGGCTATAGGGTGACCTTAGAGGATTCTCGCTTGAAGGTCACATTGGGGTCCATGATTGTTATGAAGGGCGTCAGGAGGAGTAACTTGTATTATCTGCTTGGGAGCATGGTGATTGATAGAGCGCTGACGACTTCTTTGGCTAGACTGTGGCATTATTTGGTGCTGAGATATATTATTGTTTATGCCGTGCACAGATTGTCGAGGAGTGTTATGACCTGTAGATTAAAGTTCTTTTAGCACATTAGGATAAGCGAGAAGACCAAGGTGGTGTTGGGCAATTCTATCCACCTATCGAGGGGTCTTATTAGAGGTGTTCAGTCAGGCATTAGGGGGCCTTCCATAGAGGCATCATTAGGAGGTAATCGTTATTTTGTTTTCTATGTTGGGGATTATACTAGGCATTTATAGGTTGCAACCAAATCCCTTTGGTATGAAGCTCTAGTAGTCCGCAACAGTTGGAGGAGGTGTATGGGCAGAAAGGTTATCCGTCGTACTAGTTCTAGTAGGGGTTCTTTCCTGCATTGGTACCGAGCTCATGGCAGTTAGAGACACTTCATAGGGGAGGAGACAGTGGGGCGACGTGATGAGATGGTAGATTTAGTGGGCCTTTCTTTTCTGGAGGAGGATCGGTGTTGGTTGTCGAGCAGTGGATTTGGTATTCAGGCTCCGACAGGTTTGGGTCATCTTATGAGGTTGCCGACTGCTGTGTTAGATATTGTTAGATTTGGTGGAGCTACTTCAGATATTGGGTTGCATTGGATGGTTGGCTACCCAGCACTTGGCCATATCGTGTATGTGAGTTTGGGTCCGATTGCACGATTGGGTTTCAGAGGCTCTTTTGGCTATCAGTTGGGAGCTTCTAATTTTGGTCTGTGCAGGTATGTCACTTTGGACTCTCGACAGGTGGAGAGTATTGATCAGATCAGAGGGATATCATAGCGGGTGGAGGGTGATGCTACCACATTGGGTGGAGCTTACTCCACATACTCCAGGTCATTTTGTATTTGTTGCGATTCCGGCAGAGGTGACACGGTTTGGGGATCAGATTGTTCAGGATGCGGATGACGAGTTGGTAGATCCATGTGCAGCTGATGGATATAGCTTAGATACAGCCATTGGTCCACCTCAGGTGGAGGTGTTTGGATCGTTTCAGTATGGAGCCGTTGGTGATGCTGTTAGCAGCGCATTGGATGTTGGTATTGGTGAAGAGTTGAGGACTCTTCTTTTGAATTAAGGGCCTTTGGTGGCCATTAGGTGAACTACGTGAAGGCTTGATTCCTTGGAGAGGATACGTAGGCAGTTAGTTTTGATGCAGCCGATTTGGTGAGTATACACTTTTGATTTAGAGTGAGTGTTCGCACTCCCGTTTGGGTCTCGACATGTTATGGATGGGGTCCGTTGTCATGAGTCCGTTACCATGGCGTACTTGATGCAACAAGTGAGGCATTGGTTTGGTTGGTGTCGGCACAGTT